GAATCTCTCTCTCTCTCTCTCTCACTCACTCACTCTGTTTCTTAAAGTAATGAATTTGAACTCTCCCTATGTTCTTAGAACAGAATTTTAACTATATCTCAGTTCTTAGAACAAGGAATTTCTACTCTCGTTGTCCTTGTTGAGCCGGAAAAATAATATAATTAAGGGTGGCAATGCGCTGGGTGGCCCGACCCTAAATAACTAAGGCCTGGGCCATGAAATGTGGCCTGAGGGCTGGGCAACTAGGCCTGAGGGGCAGGGCTGGGCTGGGTCAGGGCAAATGCCGGCCTGGTTCGGCCCATACCTCTTTTTTTTTTGGTTTTATTTCCAATTTTATTTGGTGCAGCCTGATAGGGTTAGAGCCCCAGGACTTGGGTCAGGGACCTTTTGGCCCAATCAGGGCTCGGCTGGGCATGGCGCGGCCCTATGGGGAGTAGGGACTATGGCCAGGCTAGGTACATAGGCCACTAGGCCCATTGCCACTGCAAAATAGAGCGTATCAACTATTGTTTAGCACAAACGGACAATCAAACTTTTATTGAAAAAGTTTCCATTTGCGTCTGCATGTTTGGACTCACCATTGCAATCACACTAGAGTATATAATTGGGTTTGTCTGTAAAGAGACCATTTATCTTTTGTACATAGAGGTCACAGTCATTTATACTTATTAGGCGTCAAATTGGATGGTTTGGGATAAATCATGAAGTCCGAAGTTTTTTCTTTGGAACTTTGTGTCTATTCAATGATACTCTGTTAACTATCCATTTTAAAATTTAAAGGACAATAATTATTGTGACCTCGAATGATTATAACCGCCATGTACAAAAGATAAATAGTTTCTTTATAGACAATCCCTATATAATTTATGTTGAATATGGTGAGAATACACAACATATCCCTTTTTTAATATAATATCAAATTAATTTGTTGATAATGTGCATAAAGATAAAGAATTACAATGAAGAGATCGGTCCGTCCACTATAAGGGTAGAGAGCCACCAAATTTAGCAAGTTGGCCTACCAACTCATTACCTTCTCTGTAAATATGGACAAGAGCATAAATCATAGATTTGTAGCCAAAAGAATCGACAACATATGGTTGTTACTCTTCATATATTACAAGTTGAGATTTGGGAAATGGGCTTGGGTAAAAAAATCAAACTCTTAAACTATTAGGAAAAACGGGTAGGACTGTCTTTGTCACTAAATTACCCAAAAAAAAAGAACTACGAGTTGAGAGTTGAGACTTTAATACATATAGAAATGATGGATCTTTGTTAAGTTTAAAGCCCAAAGGAAAGTACAAATGTAAATAAATCCAAATCTCTATATTAAAGTTTAAAGCACGAAAGAAAGTATAAATGGAAATGAATCCGAATCTCTATACTAAATTAATGAAATTCATTTCTCTCCTACCACCCACAAAGATAGAGATAGAGAATGAAGTCATTCAAATCAAGTTATTGTGAAGAATAGACCCATAGGCCGTAAGGATGGGCTCAAGGTTAGGTGGTATGGGCGGTATGCACCTTAACACGAGGTCTTGAATTTTATTCCTATCATAAGATAAGGGATAATTTTCTTGTTGAATTGTTCAAAAAAAAAAAAAAAAAAAAAAAGAAAGAAGGGTAGACACATATCATGAAAGTTAAAAGGAAAATGACTCTGGGATAATTGTACAAGAAATAAATTGAGCTTTTAATGCATAAACAATGAAACTATATTTATTTTTGACACAAGATGGTCACAATTACTTACAATCATCCAATGTGAAATTAGATAAAAAAAAGTACTTTTATATTTAAAGAAAGTATAGAATGAGACCTATTAAGAAATTGAGAGAGAGAGAGTTTTACATTAGGTCGAACCATTAATTCGAAATTATTTCTCCTTAAGAAATAGGGATTCTCTCTCTCTCTCTCTCTCTCTCTCATGCTGGGCAAAAACATTGGGCTCTAAAAAGTGAAATCCTTAAAATTAAGATTTGTCGTGCTGAGAGATCGATCGAGGGATGTTTGGGTTGAGGAAACCTATGTAATATAATATATTTTAAAAATGTATTGCGTGCTCTCGCAGGATTACATTGTACTTATTCCTTTGAGTAAATTACCTATCTAGGAATATTTTTTCTATCCAAAATCTTTAGGTCTACTTTAGTATCACCAGATGGGTAATTTAAAAAACAAAAAAATTCACTAAACACTTAATGAGTAATTTCAAAAAACAAAACTATTCACTAAACACTTTAATCAACGTTTTGAAAATTGGTCTCTATTCATTCTAGTATCTTATCTTTTTTAGAGGCACATACAAAATGTATACTGCTCTTTTTTTTTTCCTCTTAGTTTGGTTGTTACGCTCAGGAACATGCCCATAATTCGATGTCCCAGAAATACTCTTAAATTGTGTTTTTACTAGGAAGCATGAGAGCACCTACCTAATATTGACTTTTGTTTAAGAAAGAAATGTCTTGATGTGTCTTTTTGGTGGGGTGGGCGATGCCAATCTTGACAACTTTAACTTTATTTTCGTAGGTCAATCTCTAGCCAATTTTAAGTTTAAGAAACTTTAATTTCATTGCCAGTGAGAGAAGAAAAAGAGAAGCCAAAAGAATAAATTATCATCCTAAAAAAAAGCCTTGATGCTCAATTTTGAGCCAAAACCTTAGGAAATAGTCGACAACAATGCAGGAAAAATTGAGCAGTCAGAATCCTAACCACCCGGATAACCGGTTTTGGTGAACTGACTGGATATGTAATTTTTTTTTTAAAAGAACCTATATAAATTTTTTTAAAATAAAAAAAGGTTTATAATACATTTTTTTTAATATTTTTCATCAATGAAATGCTCAATTTCGAGCCGGGAACGGAGTTGCCCTTGATTTAAGGTCCCCCAAGACCCCAACTCATGTTGGAAGGACGAGAGCGCGGGGGGTTTGTATTTTGGAGGGAATATGAAATACTGAAAATTGTCGAGAGAGAGGGAGAGGACGAAGAGTGAGAAATCTGAAATACTAGGACTGTAGAGAGAGAGGGGGAAGAAGAGAGAGAGAGAGAGAGAGAGAGAGAGAGAGAGAGATGGGGTCGTCTTCGGGTTCCCCACCTAGTTGGGCCTCTGAGCCCTGCATAATGGGCATCGATGAAGCCGGAAGAGGCCCTGTTTTAGGTACTGTGCCCTCTTTCTTCTGATTCTTCCATTTATGTTGCCTTTTCTCGAGTTTCTTTTGTATTATTACCCGAATGTTTTGTTTCTATTTTTCTCCTTTACTTTTTCCTGGAATTCTTCTGGTTTCACCTACCTATTGTTTGTGCACTATTTATAGGCCCGATGGTGTATGGATGCTTATACTGCGCCCTATCTTACCAACACAAACTTTCTTCCCTGAACTTTGCAGGTTTGACATCTCTCACTCGTCTTATGAATCTTTAAGTTGAGTAGTATGTTTTTCATTCCATGATTCTATAATGAATTCTTGATCATTGTTTTGGGACTTGACGGAATCGTAGTGGACTTGGGCGAGTAAATAGGCCTCGCCCTACGAGTTACCCCAAGTTGTCCATAAAATTTTTTTTATGTATTTTTTTTTAAACTTTTTAGGGTTTTTTGGCCATCTAGAGGACTCTGCCGAGTTCACTCCAAGTGACTAGCCTAGGTCAAGGGCCGAGGCGATCTTCTAAACACTGTTCTAGATGATAATATCAAAAAGGGTACACTAAATGCCACTTATCTAACTTATAGTTCCTGTTAATCCCCTTCTTTGGAACCTGATCCTCTAATGGTTAGGGTGTTGGGAAATGAAACAAAGCATTAGGGTGTCAGGAAATGCAACAAAGCATCTTCGGTCTGAATCACAGCTGACATACCCAAGTAAATGGAGTAGATATAAGCGTGCATTAACCTATGAATCAATTTGAAAGTGCTAGTACTGTAGTCTCAAAGTTGTTTATTTGTGCTAGCCAAAAAGATTAAGAGTTAGGGATCATTCAAATCTTAATGGATATTCTACATTAGTAGTTGGATATCCCAAATTAGTTGTGGCTATCAATTGTTCTATCAATTGTTCTATTGTGGGGCTTCCCATCTGGGTTGATCTTCTTTGATGTGCAGTGTACTATCCCTTTCATTAGCTGACTCCACCATCCACTGAAAAGTTTGTGATACCCAATGCTCTGGTGACAGTATGGCGTTTGCGTTGATCTTTCGTGTATTTGGGAAATAAGACTTACTTGATTGCCTTTTGTGTGGTGAAACCCCCGCTACAACAGATCTCCAATACCTCAAAACAAATCTCCAATGCCTCAAAACCAACTGGCCTATCACTAGCAAATTGAACACAAGAAAGCCAAATACCGAAGAACAATATTGGTATAATAGATATATGTAGACTAAAAAGGAACGAAGAGATGCAAAATACTAAACCTAAAACCACAATAACAAGCTACAAATGACAATCTAATCACTACAAATACGCAAATGTATGTGGTTCACTCTAGTCGGGCTACATCCACGGGCAACCGGCAAGGAAATGATTTCATTATTATGGAAGAATTACAAGATTTGGTAGATATAAGGGTTACTTCACAATCGACAAAGTGCCACTGGTTCCCCTCTTGACTACCATAAAAGTACCATAGAACCAACCACCATTGCCGTCTCCATCATGCCTCTCTGCCAACAATGAAAATGCCAATAAAATCATGCAAAATAGGGCACAATAATAGCCGGAGTTTTGCCCAAAATCCTCAATCTCAACCTCAACAAGAGCTCTTCTTCACAAATACAACTCTCTCCCCTCAAAATGAGCCTTAAAGTCATTTTACAATGACCAAACTACCCTTTACAGAAAAAAATACTATTGGGATTGATCCAAAATTACTGAATCAAGTCATTGTTAGTTAACTTGCAGCCAGCTGAATGAAATGTCTCAATAGAAGTTCTTAAATCTTGGCCTGCCATATCATGCTAGACAATGGTATAGGATTGCAACTATTGAACCTTAGATGAAAGGAAGATTAACTTTGACCAATGTTCTGAGATCTAGGACTCAAACTCAAGTGGATGTCCTATAAATAATGATGGTGAAAGTGGTTGTGGTTCTAAAACCTAGGACTCATTCTCAACTGGGGTTGCTGCTGCTGCTATTATTACTACTGCTACTACTACTATTGCTGCTGCTACTAATACTACTAATTGGCAGCAGTAGCAGCGGCAACAATAGTAATGGTGGTGGTGTTGCTGAGAAGTTAGAAAGCATAGAAAAATTGAAATAAAGAAAGAGAATTATTGGTGATGAATCCGTTAATCTAAGATTCTTTGGTACTGAGAGAAAGAAATAAAGTTGACATATTATTTGACTTAATGTGAATGAACTATTAGGAGATCTCGACTAATAGTACATCATAAATTACACACAACATAATAATTAAATAATATATGTCAGTCCAAGTATCATTGTTGAAGGACAAGGGAATAACACAAAATAAAATGCCAGATTCACTGCCCCCTTGATTGTCTTCCTGTAAACATGAGAAACATAAAGACTGATGCTAATTATTTAACAAGCATGGAAGAGAAATCACGGGATGTTTGTCGAGACTTCCTAGGCCTTAGACTCACAAGAACAAGCTAATTGGAATCCTGGTCCCTGATGGGGTAACTTTCTGCAGTCACAAGGTGCTTAGACTGTGGAATGGATAGGCTGTCAATTATGTATCTTTGGTTGCCTCTGTGCCCATGCAAACCACCCAAAGCCATATGGGATGTCATCATGGAAAGATTCACAAAGAAGCTGGACTTATGGAAATCTAGGTACTTATCATTTCGGGGGTGGATAACTTTCATTAAATCTACTTTATTCAATTTACCTCTTGATTTGTATGTCTTTATATGTAATCCCTATTCATTGTCAATGACCAAGAAAGACTTGCGAGAGATTCTTATAAAACAGATCAACATATATGCCAAGGCTACACCTGGTAAACTGGAATTGAGTTGTAAACGTAAAAGCCATGGTGAATTGGGGACATGGAGATTGGGAGAGTAAATCAGGCCGTGCTTGGTAGATGGTGCTGGAGGATGGGAGATTTGACCGAGAAATTCTGGGAAAAGATCACGGACAAGATGGAATTGATTAGTAATTTGTTTGATAAAAAGAGTTTGTAACAACTCACAAATGTCAGGTATTTGGAATGGTTTGAATCGAGTGAGCTGTGAATTTATAATGAACATAAGGATAATGGTAGGGAATGGACGTATAATACTGTCTTGGCATGATGTATTTCTTCACTCTGAGCCAATTAAGGAAAGCTTCATTCCCCTATTTTCTTTAGCTTAAAACCAAGGGGGGTGGCACAGATGCTCCAGGGGACAGGAAAGAGTGTCGAATGGGATGTGATCTTGTGCAGAGGGCTATATGAAGAGGAGATTGCAGCCTTAGCAGGACTGATGACTGAACTTCAATCTTTTTTGTCTGCAGCAAGGAAGGAGGACCAGAGGATATGGAACCCCAATGCCAAGGAAAGTCGCAGCCAAGTTCCTTGATAATAGTTTGACTAGGGAAACTCATGGCCTCATCATAGCTAGCAGTGTATGGAGTGTTTCAGCTCCTCCCAAAGTGCAGGCTTTGGATGGTTGGCTTCATTGATAACTGCTGAGGGGAATGGTAATTCCATAAGGAAAAGTATACAAAGAGACCACTTACTTTTAATACAAGGAGGTCACAATCACTCTTATCCATCAGATTTCAAATTGGGTGGTTGTGATTGTATAAGTAGACTCAAAGTTCAAAAAGGAATTTCTTGAACTTCGTGACACCCCCACAACCATTCAATTTGACATCTAATGGCTAGGAACAATTGTGACTTTCATTGTAACATTGACAAATGGTTTCATAGTATACAATCTCATTCCATAAAAGGTGCATTATATGCAAAAAAGAGGCGGAAACAATGGAGCATTTATTCCTACATTCTGAGGCAGTTAACAAAATGTGTTCTGAGGTGCTATCTCTATTTGACATCCAGTGGGTAACTGCAGACTCCATATAATAGTAAAGCTTTGATGAGCCAATAGTTTTACCCCTAGTACCCAAACCTTGGTTAATACTGTGGTTTGATTGGTTGGGAAGGAATAGTTGGATTTTTAAATGAGTCTATCCAAGGCTAGATTCATAATTTCAAAAAGCGCTAGGTGGGTCTTAGGCAGCCTGGGGGGTCCAGGCTTCCTAGCGCCTAGGTGGGCGCTCAGAACCTGGGCAGCCCAGTCGAATCCAAAAAGGTTGCCCAGTCAAAGATCCTTCTAAGGACTCAAAATCTTCTAAAAAAGCCTCCAATAGATTTATAAAACATCAAAAATTAAATTTAATATCAATGGGTGATGTTTTGATCAATTTTTATCAACTTTGAAAAAAAACAATTTCTGCCTCTGGGTGGGGCGGGTTCTATACTGCCTAGGCGGGGCGCAGGCCTTGGGCTGGGTGCCCGCCTAGGCGGGTTCCGTACCGCCTACAGACTGCCGCCCAGATTGGCTGCCTAGGCCTGGGCGTAGGCAGCCGCCTAGGCGCTAGGCGGTCCGCTTTTTGAATCACTGGCTAGATTGCATATGGGCTGAGTAAAGTCAAAAACTATCTTGAGCAGCAACTAAGAAAGTGTTCTGGGGTTTTTGAAGTGGGAGACTTCGAAACCCAATGGATCTCTATAGCAAAAGTCCAGTGCTCGAAACCAGTTGTTTTCTATAGCAAAAAGCCCTAAAGTGACCAGACATGGGACTTTGAAGCCTCCAATTGAAGTATTTGTGAGGCTAAACGTTGATGATAGTTCCTGAGGTAATTGGCATCTGGCTGGCATTTGATGGGATTATAGGAGACCGTAGGGGCTGCATACTGTTGACATTTTCAGGCCCATTGACTAATGTCAACTGCCGTGACGCATAAGAAAGGGCCCTGTTGGTTAGAGTACAATGTCGGGACAATACTTGGTACGAAGTTGTAGTTGAAGGTGATAAGTGGGATGTCCTTGGTCTAAGAAGGGTGAGGACCTTGAACCTTCCCTTAACCTCTCCCAAGCCCAGATAAAAGAGATAGGTTGTGTTAGGTAGGCAGTCAATATAAACCTTTGCTAAAACTTTCCGTGAATAATGAAGCTGGAGGGGAAGTTCTATAAGATAATTGTGAGAACAACTTTGTTTTATGGGGGAAAATGTTGGGCGGTCTAATTACAACATATCCATATGATGAGTAGAGCTGAGATGAGGATGTTGAGATGGATGAGTGGTGAGACAAGAAGGGATAGAGATGAGGAGGTAGGTAAGATTGTTGGCCAAGAAATGCTAAAAAGAACGCACTTTCGATATCTTGGGTCGATAATCTAGAAAAATAGAAGGATTGAGGAATATGTCACACATAGAATTAGAGTTGGGTGGGTGAGGTGGAGATGTGCAACTGGAGTTTTATGTGATTGCTGCATATCAATGAAGCTGGAGGGGAAGTTCTATAAGATAATTGTGAGAACAACTTTGTTTTATGGGGGAAAATGTTGGGCGGTCTAATTACAACATATCCATATGATGAGTAGAGCTGAGATGAGGATGTTGAGATGGATGAGTGGTGAGACAAGAAGGGATAGAATTCAAAATGAATACATTTGGGAGAACTTAGGTGTGGCTCCAATAGGTGATAAGATGAGAGAGATGATAAGATGAGAGAGAGTAAACTTAGGTGGGCTGGCCATGTGCAGCGTAGACCCAACATAGCACTTGTTAAGACGTACGAGTTGGTTCAAATGGAAAGCTCAAAAAGGGCAAGGGGTCGGCCCAAAAGGACATAGTTGGAAGTAGTGAGAAAATATATGTCGACTTATGGCTTCACTGAGAGTATGACCCTTGATATAGCAAAATGGCGGATCACGATTTGTGTAGCCTATCCCAAATAGTTGGGAAAAGGATTAGATGATGTTGATGATGATAAAATGAGATGTCCAGCAATGTCATCCTGCGGTGGAAGTGGATAAATGTGATGTCCATGGCAATTTTAAAGTGGTTTTGAAGAAATTCTTGACATCATTATTACTATTCAGTGTGACCTTTCCTACATGCTCGGAGGGAAGCAAATGTGGAGGCAGACATGTTTTCCAAAGAGGGAGTAGGAAAGAAGGCTTGTGTAATTTCAAAATTTTAGTTTAGTCCGTACTATTGATGTCCCATTTTGTATGGGGATATCTCAATTTTGTAGAAAATACATGCATACACTCATTTTTGTCAATGAAGTAAAGTTACCGATCAAACAAGAAATATACATAATAGTTACCTACTTTTACACTCCATTTTATTTTGAGAGTTGCTTATCAATTTCCACAGATTCGAAGACTCTGAAGGAGGACAAGAGAGAAGAACTTTTTGAGAATCTCAAAACTGATGATTCCATTGGTTGGGCCACTGATATTATAGATCCAAGGGAGCTTTCAGCCAAAATGCTTAATAAGTTGGCTCTTTGCAAATTTTAATTTTTCTCGTTTTTTAGGTCAATTGGTAATCGAATGCGGTTTTTGACACAAAATGTTTTTCATATGGGAGCAGAGTGAAAGTTAATCTCAACGAAATTTCTCATGATTCTGCAATGGGCCTCGTCAGTAGAGTTCTCGGCTTGGGAGTTCTTTTAACGGAGGTATAAATGCTATTGTATCTATATAGCAATTAATACCTTTTGGCTTGGGAAAGAATTACATAATCCAATGAACTATGGAAAACCATAATCCAAGTATTCCATCACCATGCAATTCTGATTCGAGCTCACAAAGAGAAAGGACCACCATTCGGGGTATCCATTTTGGTGGGCACTCTTTCTCCATCATTGTCCATAATTTGATTGGCAATCACCTCAGTGGACTATGATGTCCATTACACTATGCTTCCCTTTTGGTGGGTTGGTCATTTTTGTGCTTTTTACTAATGAGAAGTAAAAATATAGAATAGAAAATGTAACAATTTCTTTTGTTTTGTCTTTCATTTAATGCTAATGATAATCAAAGGTCCATTGTTTCTTGCAAATGCCTAGGTCTATGTCGATACCGTGGGTGATGCTGAGAAGTATAGAATCAAATTGTCAGGGAAATTCCCGGGCATAAAATTTGTGGTTGCAAAGAAAGCAGATAGTCTTTATCCAGTTGTTAGTGGGGCAAGCATTGTTGCCAAGGTCTTACATTCATTTCCTTCAAGCTCTTGATTCTAACATGCAACTTGGGAAAGTGTCCTATAATCCAATGGACCCTGGAAAACTATATCCCACTGGAGTCATTATCATCTAGTGGAATGATGGAAGTGATGTAGATATGAATGGGAGCACCACCTCTGCTCATTTCTTGTTCTGGTTGGTGCCATACTCTTTCCATTACTGTCCATCTCTCTGGACATTAACCATCCCAATTGATGGTTTTCTACTGTCCAGTGGATTATGGTATACTTTCCCTGCTTCTTATGCGGTTTGTATTTTTTCTTTGATGCCTTATTATTTAATACTTTTTTTCCCAAGGTATTGACCCAAGAAACCTTATTGTTTCTTAAGGTAACTAGAGACGGAGCTTTACGTGATTGGGTACTTGAAGAAGTGGCAGAGAGTATGAATAGGAATTTCGGATCTGGATATCCTGGAGGTACTTGACACAGTTTTTGAGCTCTCCCTAGTTTGTTTTTATTCTTTTCATTTCTTGTAACTAAGCCCTCACATTAATAGATTGAGAAAACAGAAAGTATACAATCATGAGTCATCCAATTGACTTTTTTTTGGGTAAGTTCATCCAATTGACTTTGGAAATCCATAGTGCATCCATTGAAACATAGATGCTTATGGAGTGACTGTGGCGCCCACCTCACAGTCTTGCCTTTTCTGTTGGGTCTCTCTATCTCTTGATCACCCTCCATTATTTCATTGCAATTGGATGATGACTGTATCATAATCCATTGGATTCTTGTATAATTTTTCTTAAAACAACAATTAACGATCTTATCTAGCTTGTTTCTCTCATGGAGTACTCTCATCTGATAGATCCTGTTTTCCTCTTGTATGCAGACCCTGCAACCAAAGCATGGCTTGATCATCACAAGCACATGGTGTTTGGGTTCCCTTCACTTGTTCGCTTCAGTTGGGCTACATGCAATCCGTACTTTAAGGACATTGTTGAAGTGATATGGTGAGTCTGGCGTTTTCATTCGCTCATCGATTTTATTCTTTTAGGGAAACTGTTTGTTTTGAAATATTAAGGCTGTGGATGCCTCAAGGTCATCTAGAATTCCTGTTCCCCAGGCTACATCTTATGTGCATTCCCACTGATAGATGGTTCAAGATTGAGGCTCCATTTGGATGCACCATTTTCTGGTTATAGAAATAGGACAGTCTTATAGTTGCGCTGGAATGGGTGGCGTGCTAGCTTGGCACCCCATATTTATACAACTTAGAAGGAATAGAGCCCTGCTTAATGGCAAAACGCCATAGATAAGTGGTGTTTTACCCTTATGAATGGTAGAAGAAAACCCTCTATTCTCAGCCCTGACCATCAAGCAAGACCCTGTTCCAAAAAGGAAAAATAATTAAAAAACTAACTCTTTTGTCACTATCTCTCGAAACTTAGATAAGATTCCATCTGATTGTGTATTTTCATGAATGTGCAAAAAAGTAACCTTAGATAGGCCTTGTTATTCCTACCTGGATGTCCAAATGGGGGCGACTGTACCCAGTTAATTGTCCCTGTAGGCTGTAAGCCTCACTTTAGTTAATCTCCAACCAATCATCAGTGGGAATTGACAGCAGACTTACTGTTAGAATGCTACCATAGTCCATTGCCCAGTTAATCTCCAACCATTCATCAGTGGGAATCGACAGCAGATTGACTGTTGGAATGCTACCATAGTCCATTGCTCTATGGTATATTTTCTCTGTTCTATAGAAAATGAGACTCATGGCATATCTATGAACATGTGAATGCAAGTGTCAGTACTTTACTTGGATACAATGTAAACTCTAAAAATTGGCCTTTTAAATATGACAATTCAGTTTTTCATTTAGAGAGGGGGTGGGGTGGTTATTAACTGATACTTTCGTACGTCCATAGTGACACTTCAAAACAATATGGGTAATAAGTCTCTAAGTTTCAGTGACAGGTATTGTGTGCTTGGTGTACCGAAACAGGCCACAAACCGTGGACATGCATCTCCAAGTGACATAGCTACGTGGGCTCATATGACTCTTCAGTAAGCTTTTGGGCTTGGAGTGTTGGATGGGCTGCATCAGTGGCTCAACGTATTAGTCTGACAACTTGGATTTATTGAGATGGGTCTTGAGTGTAACTTTGGGATTTTGAACTGTGTTTTGAACATAGATGGCAGTAACTAGACATATTGGACCACAGGGGAACCTTCTTGGGTTAGGAAAAGAGATGGCCTTGTAAGTTTGGGCTCATGTGATGAGACCAGTTTTTGTATGGAGGTCGTGTGTGTGTGTATGTGCACACGTGCGTTGTGTGTTGTGCTCGGAAGCTCCAAACTTGATGGGTTGATTTTTGGCAATCAAAATATGAGAAATAAAACGTGAAACACATACCACAAGAATATAAAGATTTACGTGGTTCACCTTAGAAAGGCAACATCCACGGGCACGACAAACTGAAATCCACTATACTAATGAAAGTTACATCAAAGATTTTGGAATATAGAGTTACCTCTCTAACCTCGACAAAAATCCAGTCCAGTAAACCCTTTTAAACCGGCTCTCTCAAACAACACCACTGCCAATCTCTCATCTCTATTCCATAACTAAACCACTGTCTAGGAAGAGACCATAACTAGACCACTGGCTAGGAGAACTTTGAGCAGCTGAGATTTTCTCTCACTAAAAAGGGGAAACACCGAAAATCTTCTTCTCTACATCTTCAGGAATCTATAGGAGGCACATCACAATGTTTCTCTCCATGGGAAGCTCTCTTCTCTTTAAGGGAGACCTTGCATCTCATGCACAGGAGGCCCTGCCCCTCTCTCTTTCTAGAGGAAGCCACTTTTCCCATATGGTGACCCAAATAGGGCACACAAATTTTCTGCACTTTCATCTCATATATATAAGGTCAGTGTTTTAAAATGTGGGATGCGACCCTGATGCGGTGGGGGACCGATGCGGTGATGCGGCCCGGATGCGGGTGCATCGCGATGATACGGTCAATAAATGTAATTTTTTTTTTAAAAATCTAAAAAAATAAGTTAATGCATAAAAAAATATATGAAGGTGATATATGTGATAGTAGGTATTTTAGTTTAATGATTAACTTCAAAACTATTAGCTGTCGGAGATTCTGTATGCAGGTATCTACCATATAAGTATTTCCACAGAGCAAGCATATTACACAATTTCTATCTTTGGGATTTTTTAGTTTAGCATATTTCCAAGCTGGATCCTTATTATTAGAAGATTGGGAAGAAGCCATTGCTCCAAAAATATGTATAATAGTAAATATTGTATAAGAAGGAAAAAAAATTTACCGACTCTGTGAAGCATTGCTCGATTTCTTCACGACTTCTGAAATCCCCGATTTCTTATCACAAATTCGCCCTAACATCTCCAAATCAACAATCAAAGGCATCCAATGAACTTCCAAGTATCAAACAACCGCCAAATCGAAGATTTCGATGAAAAAAAAAATTCCGCCTAAATTGTTTTTTACCTCGATTTGATGCAAAAAAAGCCACAAAAGTGGCTAAAAATCTTCGTTTAGAGCCCCTAATACCTCCCCAAACAGTTTCCCTAACATTTGGATAGTCAAAAAGATCATTTTGCCCTCCTCGAGGGGCAAAACAAAAAAAAGTTTCGGCAGACACTGTAGTAGTGGGATGCGGTGCGATGCAGCCTATGCGGGATGCGGCGGCGCATATGTGGCCGCATCTGTCAAAAGTGCATATGCGCCTGTTTCTGATGCGGATGCGAGCGCATCCTACATGATGCGAGCGCATCCTACATGATGCGACCGCATATGCGGCGATGCAGCCGCATTTTAGAACGCTGTATAAAGTTAGGAATCCATACCAAATAGAAAACTTCCTATAGATGTTACATATATCTCAAAAACCAAGAGATATATCCAAGAGTCTTAATCTTTTTGGGTTTCTATTTCTTTTAGGAAACTTATCAATATCAATCTCAATCTCACATTCTCAATCCCACATAATATGGGATTTCCTTATTGTGGGTGATTTTCGGTAACACCAAATCCAACAATCTTCACCTTGATATCAAAATCACTTGCTTACTATGCCAACATCCATTGGATAACTTCATAAATTCTTGGATAGCTTCATAAATTCTTCATCTTTTGCCAAATAAATTTCTTCATCATTCTTGCTGAAAAATAGTATTGTAACAACCCACATATCGACAATGGTTGCCTCGAGTTTAAAAAATAGTTGATCGTTGCTCTCGCATCTCTATCTAGTGTTGTCGGTAATGGTTGCCAGAAGTAAAGAGAAAGAAGGGAGAGTGATTTAATAGGGCTTGCTTGACTGTGTTTTGTCGAGGTTAGAGAGGTAACTCTTTGTCCCAAAATCTTTTATGTAACTTTCATTGGTATAGTGGATTTCAGTTTGCCGTGCCGTAGATGCCCTTCTGGGGTGAACCACGTATATCTTTGTGTTATTGTCGTATGTGTTTCATGTTTTATTTCTCGTATTTTATTTACCAAAAATCAACCTATCGGGTTTAGAGCTTCCGCACACAACACTGTGTGTGTTTAGAAAGAAGCTATGTCCTTTTCTCTTACATGGTGAGACCCTTTATGTATGGAGTTTTTCTTGTGGGTAGTTTCTGTATCAAGGTTGTGTGAGTTTAGTCACACAACGCTCTGTATGAAGGTTGTGTGACTGAACTCTCTCCCTCACTCCCTCCCTCTTTCTCTCTCTCTCACTCACACAATTAAAAAAAAAAAGAAGCTTACCAATCTAAAGGGAAAGGAATGTGGTTTTTGTGTCACTAATTTTCAGTTGAATTGGTTGTTTCATTCAGGGAGTCAGATGCGACAGATGATGAAGGATGCAGTACTGGGAATGGTAAAAGACAACTGAAATTAGGCAGTGTTGGCTTCACAGGAGTCAAGAGAAAGACTGAGGACATTGAATCAAGTGGGAAAGGGCGGTGCAAGTTTTTTCATAGTCGCAAGCTTGAGCAGGTCATTCATTTCTCTTAGTTTAGTGCATGTTTCATGATAAGCTCTATTAATCATTGGTGCATTCTGATTCTCAGTAGAAAGAAGGTTTACTGATGAGTTGGATTTGGCCTGGACTCGAAACAGATTAGGGTAGTACTGCCTTTGTTATAACCCTCTCTCTCTCTCATACACGTACACACACATTTCCTTCTGGATTATGAAAAGAAGTGGACTTCTTTTCATTTATTTATCTATCTTATCTGTTGACTGAGATCAGTGAGACTGCTCTGTCATACACATGATGTGTACTGTGTCTGCAAAAACGAACATGCATACTGAAGAGCTCAATCGTATATCTTTACTGTTATCTGTTTTGTTATCTAGCTTTTGTGTCATGAATGAACTGTCCTTTTTAATTTGGCTTCTTTCAACACAATCATGGTTCTGCGCACTAGTGGACAAGGCAAAGTGCATGCACATTACATAGAAATGACTTTACCGTTGATGGTGTCCTCTGTTTATTTTTCAAATGTTTTTACAGCCACCACTGGACTTTGTATGTGTGATCTTATATCCAAGGCCTTCCCTTTGTAGAAAATTCAAAATTCCGTGAAGGGATTTGCTCTGAATTAACTGAAAATTTGCTCAGTTTCCAAGCCTTTATTTTTTATATGCATATGTGGGGCTTCGCAAAAATTCATCCAAGATTTAATTTAAATTTGCCCAAAATGAGAGAAGAAGCATCAAACATTTGTTGAATTCAGCTGAATTTTGGATCAAAGTAACCAGCTTAGGCTTTGCTTTGAATGAACCAGCTATGCGACTCTTGCATGAAATTTGGGCCATGGTTTTGTCTTGAAATGCATGATGTTGCTGAATCTTTATCCTGAATTTGGGGTATAAGAACTGATAAAAGGCATCAACTGTCACACTTTTTCACTTATGGTAGACTGATGTAACTTAGTGCTTTGAAGTTCTTGTTTTTTCAATATGTGTGCGCGTGAGAGAGAGAGAGAGAGAGAGAGAGAGAGGGGGTGTCTCGTGTCGCTACTCTCTAGTGTAGGTTAATTTAGTTCGTTACACTACTACGTAGGTTCCGACCTAGTCGACTAGTAGGTAAGTAGTAGTAGTTATTTTA